TTGGGTCTTGGTGGTAACTGGAGTCTCCCGCAGCAGCTCGAGGGGTGGAGGGCGTGCGGACGTCAGTCCCGCCAGTTGGGCTCCCAGCGCCCCCAGGATCGGCACGGAGGGCATCAGCATCAGCAGGGCCACTTCCAGCAGAAGGCGGCGTTGCATGGGACATAGTCCACGACCAGGGACAGGAAGCGACCACGATGTGACAGGACAGGGATATGGAGTTGCCTGGGGCGGACCAGGGCTTGAACATGTAGTGCCTGGGGCGAACCAGGACTTCAATATGAAAGCCGAGAAAGCTGCGAGACTCTGGATGGGTTTTTTGAAAGATGGGAGCCTACCCCGCTGAGGCAGTGAATGGAGCACCATCTTGGCCTTGAGCCAACATGGCTACGGATATCTATATTCATATGTGTGTGCGTTGACACGGCGGCCAGGCGCGCGGTGACGCTGGCGGTCACACGGCCCCGGCGGCGGGAGCTGGACTGTGAGCATCCTTGCTGGACTAATGCTTTGCGGGCGTCTCCTGTCCTCGTTGTGTTCTGTCTCTCGCCCTGTCTCCCGTTCCACAAATCGCCGTAGTGCTACCACAATGAAAGCGTAATAGGAGCGAAGGGGCTTTTCTGGCCACGGCGGGCCTAGGCACAAACAGGCCCCACTACATAGATCTGAGAACGGCCCGAAAATCCGAGCCATCCTGAGCCCCAAGAGGTCCTTAGTTCCTAGGCTGCCGCAGAATTTAAACAGTGACCCAACAAGACGTTCATGAGAGCCCACGAGGCCTCCTGGACCGCCCCAGGGGATCCAGAAGACGGACCCAGGAGCCAAAGACAGCCCAAGGTGGTTCAAGGAAGCCTCCAAGACGGACAAAGGAGGTCCCAAAAGCAGATTGAGACGCCTCAGGACGACTCGAAGAGGGCAAAACAACTCATACCAGGGCATGGACCACAAGCAGATTAACTACGTCACAACTACATGTTGGACCACATGGGGGTGATCCAGTAGGGGTTGACCTCGTATGGGTGTGGACCCTTTTGGTTGAGATCCTACGACATGAGACCCGATGAGGTGGGCCACGGCACGATGCGTATGACCCCGTAGGTCGGACTCGGCGGGCAGGACCCTATGGTGTTGGACCCTATGCGGTGGGACCCGATGGTGTTTGACCCTATGCGTGGGAGGGGTGTGGGGCGTGGGGCCCCACGGGGTAGGGCACTGAAGGTGGAGAAGAACGCCACCTTGCATGAAATAAGACGAAGCCATGACGAGGATACAATCGGGTGAGGATAAAACGAGAACCTCTGAGATCCCGCGGCTCTGAAGGATGTCTCCCTTCTCAGAGCGTTCCAGAACGCTCTGGGAACGTTCCGGAACGCTCCGGAACGGATTCGTCCTCGCCCTAGCCCCGTCCAATAGAACCCTGTGCGTTGGACCTGATGCCCCAGATCCTACGGGGTGAAACCCACTTCGACTGTCTTGAAGCTGTCCTCTCCACTGCTCGTGCAAACATCCCACCCTCCCACCCGCAACTTGGTCGCAAGACATCTTCAGACCACGACGGTGGATACCAAATGGCTCTTGGCGACGACAGCAACGCCGACGACGACAGCGACAACAACGACGACGAAAACGTCGCCGACGACGACTACGATGACACCGACGACGGCTCCGACGACTTCGACGACGACGACGACGACGACGACGACGACGACGACGACGACGACGACGACGACGGCGGCGACACCGACGACGACAATGACGACGCCGATGACGACGACGACGCCGACGCCGACGACGACGACGATGACGACGCCGACGACGACGACGACGGCGACGACGACGGCGACGACGACGCCGACGACGACGACAACGACGGGGACGACGACGACGCCGACGCCGACGGCGACGACGACGCGGACGACGACGACGCCGACGACGACGACGACGAAGACGACGACGACGTCACTAACGAAGACGACGACGACGACGAGTGAGGAGGGAGGAGGACGACGGCGACAACGACAACAACGACGGGGGGAGGGAGGACGGCGACGACGCGAACGACGAAGCAGGAGGGAGGACGGCGACGCCGACGACGACAACGACGAGAGACGAGGGAAGACGACGACGACGACGACGACGACGACGACGACGGCGACGAAATAGGAGGGACGACGACGAGACGCCGACGACGGACGACGACGACGACGAAGGAGGAGGGACGACAACGGCGACAACGACGACGGAAACGATCACGACACCACAGAGGACGACGACGACGAACACGAGGAAAGACAAAAGACGTAGGCGACGACAACGACGACGACGCGGGAAGAGGGAGGACGGCGACGACGACGACGACGACGCAAGAGCGCGCGCACGCTTTTGTTGAAAATCTGTGTTGCGAAACCTTGTGTCTTTGTAGGTTTTTTGGACACAATATTTTAAAATCTTTCCGAAACCGATGGGTTTTGACGGGTTTCGGCATACACGCGCGACGACGCGCGCGTCTGCACTTCGTCCCATCTTTTGCATCGGATTCTCGCGACGGTACACGCGCAAGGGCGTTCGACTGATTTCGACATGCGCGCGCGCGAAGCCCGTTTGGTACCATGTTGTGAAAATCTTGAAATGTTGCAAGAGCTCGCGCGTAATCTTGTTTTGCAAATCAGTGTTGTGAAACCCTGTGTTTTTGTATGGTTTTGAGGAAACTCGATTGCGAAATCCTTCCGACACCGAAGGTTTTTGAAGGATTTCGGCATGCGCGCGCGACGACGCGCGCGTGCGCACTTCGTCAATTCTTTTGCAAGGGATTCGTGAAACAGTGTTTTGTTAGAACAAACAAGTGTCACCGCATAGGGGGGGAACCCGGTTGGCCTGGGGGGGGAACCCGGTTGGCCAGGGACATTGTGATTTCATATCTAGGATGGACATGTGGTCATAATCATATGTGATTTACATAGGACGCGGGGCGAGTGTTAACGCCGGGGGGGGGTTAGAGTCTATATCCCTTATATAAGGGAGAATCAAATGGTGCTGGGCCCCACTGGAAGGGATCCAGTGGGACCAGATGGGCCGGACCCTGCGGGTGGAACCACATTGGGTCACCCTCTGGCGGGCGTTGCCGGCATCTTGGCAGCCGAAGTCGTCGCCTGTGCAAGTGCAGCAGAAACCCTGATAGTGAGAGAATCGTGCGGGGAAACATTGACATGTGTCTGTTGTGAGTTTCGACTGTCGCTTGTGTTGTATCCACACCCGCATGTTGAAACACACATAGATAAGAAGTCTCGGTGCTCCCCGAGGTAGCCCTTGACGAAGACTAGCACAAGTGGGGACCAGCGTGTCACCGAGGAAAAACAATCTAACGTCTGGTATTGCGCCTGCCCGTGGGTGTCAAGTCCTACATGCTGCTTGTGAAGCGGAGTCGCACAAGCATCAGAAAGCGGCCCACCGAGGAGTCAGCCGAGACTAGCTACAAGGGGGCAGGAGAGAGGAAGGAGGAATGAGAGAGGGGGAATGAGGGAGGGGCACGAGGAGAATGCAAGCACTATGCAGGAGATGCGCTGGGCCTCGCGGACTCTCTCGGGCCGCTCCTGTGGGAGACACCCACCTCACGCCACGCACGTGTCCTACATCCTCCCTCCTGAGACTCCCCCAGCCTGTCCATTACACTTCTCATACACCTCCTCCTCCTCCTCCTCGTCCTCGTCCTCCTCCTCCTCATCATCGTCATCATCAGCATCGTCATCACCATCATCATCATCAGCAGCAGCACCACCACCATTATCTTCGTAATCATCACCATCACCATCACCATCATCATCATCATCATCATCATCATCATCATCATCATCATCATCATCATCATCATCATCATCATCATCATCATCATCATTATCATCGTCATCATCACCACCATCATCATCATCCACATCTTCCTCTTCCTTCATTCCCATCCACTTGACTCCCTCCCTGCACAGGGGTACGCCCAACCCATCCAGGAATCGGCATCCCCTGACCACACATCCAAGACTAGACGGCGACGTAAGGTCGTGACGACGGATCGAATCTACTGCAGCCGCGGACAATGCTGTCATGTGTCGGGCTTGGATTATGCTCTTTCCAGTTTTATCCGCGACCGCTGAAAAGGCGAGGGCAAACTGCGTAGACTCGTGGAAGTGCCCCGCCCGTGTGGGGGGGGGATGCCAGGACTCGCTCAGCAAACCGATTCCACCTGTCATACTCAATGGCTGGTGTGCTCCCACGCAAGACCTGCAAAACGCAAGTAGGGACGCGATAAAGGGGGACCTGTAACCCATGCTCCGCAAAAGAAACTACCATAATCCCGCGATTGACAAGCGAGGACGTGTTCGACGAGAAATCCCAAGACCAAAAGCAAGGACCAGATGCTTTCCACTGAAAGGCAACCCAGGATGCCAGAATCAGCAGAAGCTCAGCAAAGCCCTTGGCGGGGTGGGCTCGTGAACACTGCTTGCTTGGAGTGGGTTCTGGTTACGGGGAAAGTCCGTAGGGCCCCGGTTCCCCCTTCCAAGGGTTGGTGGTTCAACTTTGCCCGTCACTCATGGAACACGGACCGTCGAAGTTGATGCTTACGCGTTCTTTCTCCTTCGGAAAAGGTGGAAAAATCAGGCGCGCGGATCGGGGCCTGGATTCTGCTCCGCTTCTGCTCGAGCGCCCTCAGGCGCTTGTCGCGCTGGTCCTCGCGCCGGGGCCGGCGCTCCCGCGGGCCCGTGCTCGCCGCCGTCGCTAGAGGCAAGAGCCGATGGAGGTGACGCCCGGGGGGGGGGCAAAAGCACAGGCTAGAACCGCAACCGTGAGCGTAGAGCCAGGGCTCGCAGCGCAGGTGGTATCGACGGCACTAGCAGCAATTCTCGCGAGTGCAATGATGGTGATAGCGACGATGGTGATGGCAGCGGCATGCGTGGCAATGACAGTCCTGGATCACAGTGGGGCGATGGTGCCGGCAATGGCGGTGGCGATGGTGAGGAATGGATGAGCACTCGGCTGTGCGAGAGTGAGTGCTTCAGTGGTACAGTGGCGAATTAGGCTCAGACGGTACGATTTGTACTGTACAGAGAGCATCGGCGGCGCGCCCAGGGGAGGACGGTGGGGGCGAGCAGGAGGCCTCTGGCTTTCCGAAGAGCTTCCCGAGCCTCCTCTGAAGCCACATGGGGGGGGCCTCTCGAGGGCAGGAGGGCCTCCGAAGAGCCCCGCGGAACCTCCCGAGAGAGCCCGCCCCCGCTCGACTCGCCCCCCGGCGCGCCGCCGAGACCGGGCCCGCGCGACGAGGGGGGGGGAGCAGCGGAGCGGGCCGCTCCCGCTGGACCCTCGCGCGCGAGGCCTGCACTCTGCCTGCAGGGCCGGGCAGGCTCTCCTCGAGGCGGGCCCCTGGATCGGGCCCGGCTCCCGGGGCCTGGGAGCCGAGTCCGAGAGGTCCTGCGCGCCAGAGGCCGAGCCGCAAGTGGAGCGTGGCAGCACGCAGCAGCGGTGTGACCGTCGCGGGACATGCCCCCGGCTGACTGGCTGGCCGGCTGCTCCCATGGAGGCTTTGGGCTTCAGCAGACCAAGTCCTTCCGCTGCCCCAGATGACCTCCAGGAGACCTGGGACCCACCCCACACGCATGCCGGGCTGCGGCGCCAGAAGACAAGTGAAGACGACTCGTCCCGATGTGGCCCAATATCCGCCGACCCCCGCTTGCCAAGGGTGAAAAAGCGCATGAGACATTTGGCTGTCCATTTCTCCCTTTCTCCCGCCCTGGGGTCCACGGGAAGGGGCAGTGGGCAGGGGTGCACGAGCTGCACGGCGCACCTCCCTGGCCCTCAGGGCCTCCAAATCCACCCACCGTGACCTTCAAGATGCCTAAGATGCCCTCTAAGATGGCTCAAGAAGGGCTTCAACGCGACAGAGAGGCCTCCAGAGCATCCCAGATGGCCTCAGGACGGCCGAGGAGGCCTTGAAGACAACCAAAGAGGGCCCAAGAGAACCCACAAGACGGCCTCAAGATGTCAAAATCACTGATTCCAATTTCGCCATTCTTCTCGCCATTTCGGGGTCTGAACCCCGAGACGGCCAGAGAAGCCCTCTAGACTGGCCCAAGACGGCCGAAGAAGCCCCTAAGAGGGCCGGTGATGGTCCAAGAAGGCCTCAAGACTGTCCAAGAGCCACAAGAAGGGCCGGAGAGACCCTAGAGAGGGGGAATCCGTAGGTGTCTCGGGAGCCTTCCCTCACAAAATGCCCCCCAAGATGCCCAACACCAACATGCTCCAAAGATGCTCCAAAGAGACTCCTGAAGGACTCACAATAAGCCCTCAGAGGCCAGGTTCCAGAAAGCACCCAGGAACCCTGAAAAGGCTCCAAGAAAGCAGCCCGCGAGGCCTCCAAAATGTCGCCGAGAAGCCCCGCAACAGATGCTGCAGAAAACGGGGACAATCCATCAACATCTACACGCTGGCAGCATGAAGGGACGCGGCAAACAGCGTGCATGTCATCAGAAACCGCATATCTCCTCATCTGGGGGTTCGGCGGAATGGCGCAGGCCTCGTGAATAAATCGCAGGCGACCTCCAGGAGACACCAGAAGCCCAAGGTGAAGCCCATGCATGCGTAGATGGCCCTCAAGAAGAACAATCGTTGCAACATGTCCATGCGTAAACTGGTTCGCCATGACACCATTCTCGCAAACATATGGCGGAACATTAGCCCCAGACGCCCCGAAAAACTGCCCCAAGGCAGCCCCGAAGCCTTCCAAGAAGAACTCCAGACGGTCCGATAAGCCTCCTGAAGGCCGTCATGATGGTCACGAGGCGCCCCACACATCCCTAAAGGCAGTTCCCGCAGGCCCTCATGATGGCTCCGAGATTGCCCACAAAAAGATATCTCAATGGCACCGCTTCGGCCAATGCGCTCCTGGGCCCCTCCGGGACGCTTCTGAAGCCTCTGAGGCCTCTGCGGCGCCTCCAAGACTCATTCGTTGCCCCCTGTCGGATCACATCTGAAGACCGATCAAAATTGTATCCTGGACAGCCTTGTGGGGCTGGTCCGCATACGCGAATGCACGCACACTTGAATCAGGCATGCGAATCGAACGAGATTCGCGTGAAAGCTCCTCCATGATGCCCACTGTGACCCCTGCTCCGATAACAGGGGATCTGTCAACCCCTATCCAAGGCTTCGTGGGGTTATCGGACGGACCAGAAATTTGGGGCCAACCCTTGGATGTAGGATGGGGGGGGCGTCCATCCTCGATAGGGGTGCGTCTAGATAGCCCCCTGGGGTGTGTATCCGAGGGCTTCCCCCTTATTCTGAGCCGTCAGATTTTTCTGGCGGAACTCGGGGATCGAGGGAGAAATATCGCCTGCGTTCCAAGGTCTCATATCGGCGACGAGCCCAGGGGGAAGGAGTGAGAAGGGGCGGGCCTTCTCAGAAGGCTCGGACGTCCCCCTGGGCCTCCTGAGGAGTTCCTTAAGCCTTCCGCAAAGACAAAGAGAACCTCTTAGTTACTAGGCCGGAGGGCCTCTGAGAAGCCCCGCCGCCATTCTGCGAAGGCCTTCTCCCTCCTCGCACTTCTCCCCCTCGCTCGCCGCCGATCAAAGGCACCGCGACAAACCTGCCCAGGGCCTGGACGCCCACGCCATGCGGGAGAACTCCGCTCGGGCCCCCGACGCGCGGGCCAGGAGCTGCCCCTGCCCACCCCCGGCCCTGATGATTCGGGAGCGGCTGGACGCACGAAGGCTCCGGGACAGCTCCAGTCCGGGGCAGCTCTGGTTCGGGCCCCCCCGAGGCCTGGATCAGGAGCTGTCTTTTACCACCCCGAGCCCTCATGACTCGGGGCTCTGAAAAACAGCCACCCCCGTGCGGGAGCAGGCTCCTGTAGAGGTCTCCTAGATGGGGTCCGAGTAGATGGGGTCGGAGGATTTCACTGGATCGCCGATGTATCGCCGAAGCATCAGCGATGCATCGACGATGCGTCGGCGACGTCGGACGCATCGGCGACGTCGGCGTGGGGAAACACGGGCTCCACATCGTGCCGAACCGGCGATGCATCGGCGATGCGACGCGATCCTCTGCCCCCATCTTCTGCGACCCAACCTGGGAGGCCTAGATGGGAGCAGGCTCCTCCCGCGAGACGCCACGCCACGGCCCAGCGTTAGGTCGGGCGGGCATGTCCTCCTACAGGCGGATTTCTACGGAACATTGAATTTGAATAAATACATAAGCATGTACGTATATATGAATAAATACTTATATATATATGTGTATATATATACACATAAATATACATATATGCATATACATATATATATGTGTGTGTATACATATATATGTGTTTATCGGTTCGACGCCTATGCATATATATGTATATATATATGCATTATTACACTTAAAATCAAACATACAAAATATCAAACATAGTCCAAACAATAATGGAAAACTCGTCCCGAGACTACTTTTCTACTGCGTTTGAATGCTCCTCCTGTAGAGGGACACGACCGACGTGAGCCCAGCGGGGACCTTCGCACCAGCGGCATGCGAAGCCTCGCGCGAGCGACGGCCATGCCACACGCCGTCCCGCACGCCCAGCCCGCGCGGGCCTCGCCGGCGCCGGCGCTGGCCGGGTCACGCGCTGGCGCTCCGCGGCGCGGCGAGCACCGGGCGCGCCTCCTCCCCGAGGCCGAGGGGGTCACTCTGCCGCCGCAGGCCCTCGACCTCCTCGAGATCTGCGTGCGCTCCCTGCCGCCTCATCGCGAGCGAACACACATGTCCGCAGCCACGGCCTCACGGGCCGGGCCCCTGGGCCCGCGGCCCCGCGGATGCGGGGAGGGTTGTTCCGCGGGTGCCCCGCGCGGAACGTACGCTGGCGACCGCGTATCCGTGGGATCGCGCCTGGGGGTCCCATCCGCGAGAGCGCAGATACGGATCATGTTCGCCGCTCGTGAGCCTCAACTCCTGGGGAAACCAAAGAATACGGATACCGCTACTCCCCGGACCTCTCCCGGGATGCGTTCTGACTAGAATTTCGACGCGAATCCCGAGGGCCTACCAGGAGGCCCGAAAAGACAAAAACGAGAGAAGGGCAGCGGTATGGGTACCTGTTCCTCCTCTGAGCTCGTGAGCCTCAGCTCCAGAGCATCGGGCATGGCCAGCATAGGGCCCCCGACCTCCCCAAGGCTCGAGTAGGGGATCGACTACATGATTGGTCTACCCCAAACTTGAACATACGGAACAAAAGACGTATGATGCTCGCAGATGTACGAACATTATGCGATTTTTGTCCCGTAGATTCGACGATCAAATCAATTCTGGGGTAGTTCACTGTTGTAGTCGATCCCCTACTCGAAAGGTCTCGCGCGCACCCTGCCGCCTCAGCTCCGGGGCGTCTGGCAGGGGCGGCGGGCCCGCGACCGCCCGCACGGCCCGGGACATGGACACGAGCGAGGCCTGCAGCAGGTCGGTGTCGTCGGCGTCCGAGGAGGCGTCCTCTCGGGTGGACGCCAAGGGGGGAGCAGAAGCAATACACCCTGAGCCCCTGGCGACACAAGTTTTTCGGCCGGACGTTTTCGCCCAGTTCCAGGCCCGGGGACCCTCACAAAATGGCGCAAAAATGGGTCCAGGGCTCCAGTCGCGATTTTTCGCGATGCCGATTTTTTTTGAAACGTCGAATCTCAGGGTACCACATGTGACGCTGAATACGGAACGAAGGAGCTTTCCTGGCCAAGGCGAGCCTCGGCAACGAGTAGGTCCCCGACCTATAGATCGAGGAAACGAGCCGAAAACCAGAGCCTCTCCTCAACCCTTGGCTGCATCAATGGGACGCAGCCACGGGGAACCGGTCAGCGCGCTACTTCTGAAGGTGCACCACGTCTTCGAACAAAGGTACACGAAGTACGGTCAACCCGTATAATGAGGACACACTATAAGGATGCAAGGGCCTTGGAAGGCCATCTCGACACTTTGCGAGCGGGGCGCGGCCAGCGAACGCGGCCACGGATGGGCCGAAGGGGAAGGATGCAGGGGTAACCTTGGAAAGTCGCTCATCCCTACTATGCGGGTTGACTGTAAACGGAGTATCGACCTGATGGGCACCAAACGGCAACGCGTCGTTGACAGTCTTCCCTCCCGAAGAGAACGGGGACACGGCAAAAACGGAAGGCGATCGAGGGTTGCAGGAGCAAGTGTGGGAGCGGGGGGATGAGAGGGGAAGGGAGAGGAGGAAAAAGAGGAGGATAAGGAGGAGCAGGAACAGACGCAGGAGCACCATGGGGGAGAGGATGAAGAGGGAGGATAAGTAGGAGGAGGAGGAGGACAAGGACAAGGACAAGGACAAGGCGAGTGGGAAGAGGAGGATGAAGGAGGAGGACGAGGAGGAGGAGGAAAAGGAAGAGAAGGAATAGGAACAAAGAAGACCCCTGAAGAGCCACTGAAAACTGCCACCGCGGTCCCAAAAAGGTGCTGCACAAAGGTGCGGCTCTTCCTCCCCCTGGTAGTTTTCCTCCTCATCCTCCTTTTCCTCCTCCTCCGCCGCCGCCGCCTCCCTCCCTCCCTCCCTCCCTCCATTCCTCCTTTCCTCCCTTCCTCCCTTCCTTCTCCTCCTCCTCCTCCTCCTCCTCCTACTACTACTACTACTCCTACTCCTCCTCCGCCTTCTCCTACTCCTCCTCCTCTTCCGCTTCGGCCGCCGCCGCCCTGGCGACAGCCTTGTGCGAACCTACCGAGGAGGAAACCAACGCCTCCACAACTTCAGGGACCGTGCCCTTGTGCGAGAAGTCTGTGTCGTCGATGTACGTACCGAAGCCAGTGCCAACAGCTCACGCACCCTTGTCGAATGCTCCGAGAGCGAACGCTTTGATTAGGGAAGTGGTCATTGAGCAGCTGCAATGACATCTGGCAGGGGCGCAGGAAGACCGTGGCAGGCAGCTAGAGATGCCCATCCACGCGTGGACGCCCACTAGCTGAGCAACGAACTCGGCAAACCACCGAGTCAGACGAGGCATGACGAAGCGCCGCTGAATCCTGGTTGAGATGATCGCCCCCCCCCTCTTTGCTGTTCCTGGGAGGGGGGGCAGATTGGACAGCTCGGCAGCAACTTGAGTGCGCAGGCCAGTCAGAAGGCTCAATCCTGGAAGCTGGAGCTGGGGAAGCCGACGATGCCGCTCCCCCACTGGCCGAAGCACCACCCACGGCAGTTGCAGCTCCTCCGTCACCTTCATCAGGCACTGTTCCTGATTCGCCATCCTCCTTCTTCCTCGTTTGCTTGGCCCGTGCCAAGTGCTTGTTGTGGGGCGCTGGCCAGAACGTCTGCAGAAAATGATTTTGCCGCCCCGCGAACCTGAGAAGACAGTTCATCCTTCCTGCTCCGAATCTTCTCGCGGCCCTCTTGAGACAGCCCATGCATTTTAGCAGCATCTTCCAAGTCGAAAGAATCTGCGTAGATGATCTGGTTGATCGGAATGAAACCATCCACCAGCTGCTCCAACGTGACCTGGACAACCACAGCAGGCTCCAAAGGAAGACGAGCTTCCTGATGAGGGTCCTTGACCACCTGCCGGTCCTCTGCATCCGCTTTCGCCAAGTCTGCATGGAATTCTGCAACCTTCTGACGCTGGCCCTCATCAGCCCTCCACTTGTTAAGCGTGGCAAACTCTGCAGCAACCGCGTTCCTTGCGACGAACCAGAGCATGCACTAGCTGCACCTTTTGCCGCGGCGGCGGCCCTGGCGCCTGCTCTGACTTCCAGAGCGAGGTAACGAACATCCTGTAAATAATAGCGAACTGGCCCTCACTGGCCTCAGAGTTGGACGAGGAGTGGACGGCTTCGGTTGACGGCCAGGAAGAGCAACATATGCCTCATCTGCAGCAGACGGCTTGAGCGCAGGACCTCCGAGTGAGCCGCCTCCGAGGCTAAAGACCCAGCCTTTGCCATTGCTTTTCTTGCTGTCGCGGCCACCTTTGCCGCACTGCCCGCCCGCGCCGCCCTTTCTTGCCGCCAGAGACAGACTCCCCCGCTGTATGCAACAAGAGCATCCTCCTCCTCCTCCTCCTCCTCCTCCTCCTCCTCCTCCTCCTCCTCCTCCTCCCCCTCCCCCTCCCCCTCCCCCTCCTCCTCCTCCACGCTTGCGAATGGAGAGCAAGAGCCCGACCAGGCCCCTCCAGGGGGCTGCACCTCGGCGGAGGATACCTTGGGCAAAGTGGCGTAGCAATTACTGCACCAACTGAAATGATTGAGATTGCGCTTGCACCCACAGGAAAGGCAGACGACCTTGGATGCTGGAGCCGAAAGCGACGATGAATTATGCTGCCCTCCTTGCCGTGTCCAAGGCTGGAATACACAACCACGGAAAACAAGAGACCAAGAAACACGAGACATCGCACGCGAGTGCAAGAAGGAAACGTAATGGTGCGAGAGAAGATGGGGCAAACCCCTGTACAGGCATCAGAAAAGCTCTGACAGAACGAATGGGGCCGCGAAATCCCCAATGCCAGAACCTCTAAGTCCTCTGGCCGACCGCTACGGACTTGAGCCAAACTGGCTACGGACCTCCTCCTCCGCTGGCCCAGCCTTCTGGCTCTTGCTCCCGCACGGCCAAGGGGGTATAGCCCCGACCCATTGCCTGTCGTGTCCTCCTGCAGGCCAGTGGGCTGGCATAGGTGTTGTGGGTTCGATCTGGGGCCGCTGGCCGTCCTTTTCGCTGCTGCACCTGTGTCTGTTCACTCCCCTCTGCTTGCACGGCCGTGGGGAGCTGGCGGTAATTCTCCCCCTGCAGTGACTGTTGCACAGAGGGGCAGCCCGTCGCAGTTTGTCTAGATGGAGCTGTCGGCGGTGCCGGGGTCGCCCCGAGTCTGCCTGCGTCTCCGTGCATCACTTGCTGCCGCATTTTCAAGCAAGCTCGCCAGCTATGTGCATTAATTTGCTTGGCATGTATTGCATTTCGCTGTGCGCCGCAATCTCTTACGCCGAGCTGGGCAACAAGCTCGATCTGGGGTCTCGAGCCGTCCTTTTCACTTCTGCTCCCGCTTGGCTTCATCCGCTTGGCTGCCCGCAGGGTCGTAGGTCTTCCCCTGTGGGCCCAACGAGGCGGACGCATCGTGTGCTGGCGCTCTTTGGGCACGGGGGAGCTCAGGCTCCGAACTCCCCGACTGTGGCTCCTTGGGCGGCCCTTTTTGCCGACACGTCGTGGGCACAGTCTCCTGGTTTGGCCATGGGGTCAGGCCCTGTCGTGTGTGGCATCCTTTCCCTCGGGTTACCTGTTGGGCAACGTCAAGTGGAAAACAAATCCTCCTCCTCCTCCTCCTCCTCCGCCTCCTCCTTCCCCTCCTGTTCCTCCTCTTTTTTTGTGCACAAGAAGTTCACGTATTCCAATGGTCAACGTACCATCAATGGTGTTTTGGATGAACTTAAGATTGCGAGGCCGTAACAATTACGTTGATTCGCGGCGTTGGAGTCCCAGGAATGGTGCTCTGGCATGACTCGGGATCGTCAAGACGCAACAAGCAGGTTGATCCGTGGCGTTGGAGTCCTGAGAATAATAATGTGTTGGCATGCTCCAGGGTCTTCGAGCGGTTGTCCCCCAACGAAGCAGTTCCCTCACTGGGCATGCACCCCAGTATGGGGCCTATGAAGGGGGAGCTTGGGGGGAGGGTGTATTCCAACATCGTTGGTGAGTCTTTAGTGTACACTCCTCCTCCTCCAACTCCTCCTTCTCCTCCTTCTCCTCCTCCTCCTTCTCAGCATCATCATCATCATCACCATCACCATCACCATCACCATCATCATCATCATCATCATCATCATCATCATCATCATCATCATCATCATCATCAGCATCAGCATCAGCATCAGCATCAGCATCATCATCATCATCATCATCATCATCATCATCATCATCATCATCATCATCATCATCATCATCATCATCATCATCATCATCATCATCATCCCCCTGCTGCTCCCTCTTTTCTTACGCTACGCCACCGTAAGCTGCGGCAGCGTGTCTCGAGTATAAATAACAAGCCGATGGGAGTAACCCAGTCCGCGACAGTATATTGTGCAGTGCAATGTCCCCCTCCCCCTCCTCTTCCTTTTCCTCCTCCTCCTCCTCCTCCTCCTCCTCCTCCTCCTCCTCCTCCTCCTCCTCCCCCTCCTCCTGCTCCTCCTGCTCCTGCTCCTGCTGCTCCACCTCGCATCCCCTCTGCGTCCTGCACCTGCCGCCTCCTCCCCTCCACCGCCGCCCGCTCGATCCTCGTGCTCGAGCTCCCCGATGCCCTCCTCGGCGATCCGGGAGTTGGCGCCGTCCCAGACCTTCGGGGGGCACCTAAGAGGCGGCTCGCAGGTCGTGGTCCCAGGCACGGGCGCGGCCTAGCGGGTTTGGGGCGGGGGACGCACTGAAGTAAGAAGAGGCGCCATGACGCCTGGGGAGATGCCATGGCCCCAACCACGACATCCCCCCCCCCTTGACAGCCCCCGAAGACCTTGAGGTCGGGGCCTCCCGACGGCCGGGCGAGCGACGAGGCGTCGGCGCGCTCCTGCTGAGCCCACCGTCTGGCCCGCTCGCGCTCGAGGGGCTTCAGCCCAAGCGCGTCGGCGAGGTCCTCGACGTGGTCCGCGAGCTCGGCGGTCGAGGACGCGCCCATCCGCACACACCACTCAAGGGCCGCGTCGCGGTGCTGCTGGAGCCTGAACCTGAGGCGGAGCCCCGGGGAAGGAGGAGGGAGGGGGGGGGGAGGAGGAGGAGGAGGAGGAGGAGGAGGAGGAGGAGGAGGAGGAGGAGGAGGAGGAGGAGGAGGAGGAGGAGAGGAGGAGGAGGAGGAGGAGGAGGAGGAGGAGGGAGGGGAGGAGCCAGGAGGAGGAGGAGGAGGAGGAGGAGGAGGAGGAGGAGGAGGAGGGAGGAGGAGGCAGGGAGGAGGAGGAGGAGGAGGAGAAGGAGAAGCAGGAGGAGGAGGACGAGGTCGAGGTCGAGGAGGAGGAGGAGGAGGAGGAGGAGGAGGAGGAGGAGGAGGAGGAGGATGGGGAGGAGGGGGAGGAGGGGGAGGAGGGCGAGGAGGAGGAGGAGGAGGAGGAGGAGGAAGGTACTGAGGGTACTGATGATCCGGGGTGGGTCCACACCCCCTGGCACACAGGCCGAAAGCAGGAGGCTAGCCTATGCTATCCTCCTCATCCCAGTCCGCCGAAACGTCCTCCCGACGGCGCTGGTCACTCTCCTAAGCACTAAGCGCCTCGGGGGTAGCGAAACCGTGCAAGTTCGCAATCAGTTCGGGTGACAAGGCCGGAAGCTCAGCGATCGCTGCGGTCGGGAGAGGATCACCCTCGGCCGCTACTAGTGCCTCTACAGCTTCGCTGTTAGGACCCGCATCCCAACCAGCACCACCCCCAACAGGCTCAAAGCCAAGCAAAGGACTCCAAACAGCCTTCGTCCCGTCTGTCGGGCCAAGCGGGGTGCCCACAGTGGCCTTACCCAGGTTATGGCCTGGGAACAAACCACGCTTTAAACGGGACCTCTGGGTCTGATACCCCGAATGGGAGGATCCTTTGCAGTTAGATTGAAGGCATCCCCGCGCACTCTGATGCGCCGAAGCCCCACAGCACTTACAAAAAAATATGTCATCAAGAGCTGCATCGTCCACTGCCTGGACCGTAGCCTGGACGATGGAATGGCCTCTAAGCACCCAGGGAACACCAGAAACCTGGAGGAAGTCCCTGGGGGCAGGATGAGGCGGAGGCGGAGGGGGAGGAAGAGCAGAACCCAAAGCCCCCATGGCCCTGGGACCCCGCAGAAAAGGTCTCACACCCGCCTCCTGGCAAGCCTCCTGGAGGGCCTGCGAAAACTCATCCTCGAATCCAATATCCGCTGTACCGGCAATGCCGTCAGAATCAGGTTGCTCCAGGGACCCGAAGGCAGCCTGGGCACGTCCATGCCACAAAGCACAGTCTCTGACAATTCGCTTACAACCTGAAACAAACAAGGGCCAGCGCTCAGGAATTGCCCAGACCTTTGCCCCCTGCTTGGCATATTTGTCTGCCATCCGGTTGCCTCGAATTAGCCAGGTATCATGATCAGTTATTGCATTCGCCTCGGACTGGTGGGCTTTCACTTTACAGACTGACGCTCGGCGACATATGCCGGCCCACCATTCAGTCCAGTTGTGGCGCCGAGGGTTATCATAAGATAAAGCTGTGCCCGCATTTTGCGCGCACTCAACAGTGCCTGAGCAGTCGCAGAAGACCTCGAGGGGGTCTTCGGCATTCCATTCAGAGAAGCGGCTAAGCATGCAGAAGGCGTAGTCCTCCCCGTCCCTTGCAACCTGGGCCGAGGCAAACCCTAAAGGAACTACACCATACATTGCTGCAGGAGGAGGAGGAGGAGGAGGAGGAGCAAGAGGAGGAGGAGGAGGAGGAGGAGGAGGAGGACGACGACGACAACGAGTTCTGTAGCCATTTTGGCTCAGGCCGTTGCCCGCCTATAGGTCGCGGATCCAACACGCGGCCCTCGACACAGGGACGGGGGGTCCCGCGGGCGACAGGCTAAGCGCGGCACCTGGCGATGGGCGCCGAGGAGCCCACGACGCTCTTCGACATCGACGTGTGCAAAAGCCCGACTGCGAGGCTGCCCAAACATGCATCGGCAGAAACGGTAGCAAAACCCACCCCTCCAAGGTCAGCCACTTCGCTCCGAGCCAGGCAAATCATAGACATCGGGCCAACCACAGCCAGGCGAGCGGTTCGACGCAGGCGGACAGCGGCGCTGGAAGCAGCATTCAGTAAACACTTCAACTACGACCATCAAACCTGACGTCGCCGATGACACCAACGACAGGCACACCACCACGTACATTGTCAGAGAGGTCCCCAAGTCTTACCAGAGCGCCGTGGAATACAGCCGCGGCCTGCCAGGCCACCAAGAAACTGTGCTGGGACCCATCCCCACGCCAGCGACACCTACTGCGACGATGGGGTTGTCCGCCTGCCTCCTTACATCCCGGCGTGCGCCTACTACGCCTACTACCCAAACGACCCCTTCCCCACGGCCCCCACGACGGACCCCAGGCCCCCCCCCAGCCACGCCCCGAGTGGCCGCATGCCCTGAGAGGGAGCCCGTGGGGGGGGGAGGCATACCTGGGGAAGCGGCCATAAGGGCCGCTGGCAAGCCCAGTGCTGGCGTCGCGTGCCCCGCGGCGGGGCTCGGTGTCCCAAGTGGCCGCACACCCTGAGAGGGAGCCCGCGGGGGGCACACCCGGGGAAGCGGCCACAGGGACAGCCGAAACCACCGCCTCGACCCCCCCAACCGAACTATCACCACGACGATTCCCACGACCCACCATCACGACGGCCTCCCACGTCCCCCGCGTACGCCTGCCCCCAGCCCCCACGACGACCTCCACGACGACCCCCGCGACGGCCCGCACTGCAACCCCCGTGACAGCCCCCACACCCCCCCACCCGACGACCACCGCGACGGCCGTGCCCCGAGTGGCTGCATGCCCTGAGGACGAGCCCGCGTGGGGCATACCCGGGGAAGCGGCCATATGAGCGGCCAGCCAGCCCGCAGCCTGCGCCGCTGGCCCCATCGGCAAGATCCCAAGTGGCCGCACTCCCTGAGAGGGAGCACGCAGGGGGCATACCCGGGGAAGCGGTCATAAGGACAGCCGAGCACCCTCAACGCCCGCGACGACAGCCCCCGCGACGGACCCTGCGACGGCTCCCCACGGCGGACCCCACGACGACTCCCCGCCCCTATCGTCCTCCCTCCCCGCCGTCCCCCTTCGCGAGGGGACCCGCTGCCACCTGCCCCACGACCCCTCCCTGCCCCGCGCCCCCCTGCCCTACGAACCCCACGACCCTCTCCACTACGACTGCCCCCGCGACCCCGTGCTCAAAAGCCCCCACGACGGCTGCGCCCCAAATGAGTGGCCGCATGCTGCGAGGGAGCCCCTGTAGGGAGGGGGGCGCATACCACGGCCCAAAAGGCCCCCAAGAGGGCCCCAAAACGGCCAAAGAGGCCTCCAAGACGCCCAAGATGGCCTCTGAGAACCCCTGATATGCCCCAAGAGGGCCCCAAGACGACCCAGAAAGACCCCCAAGACGGCTTCCGACAGCGTCAGACAAGCCAGGAACGCCCTAAGACGGCCAAAGAGGCCCCCAATAAGCCCCCAAAGGCCACCAAAAACATCCAAAAGGCCCCCAGGAAGCTCCCAGGAGGCACCCAGGGTGCCCCAAGAGGCGCCCACGAGACCCCCTCCTCCTCCTCCTCCTCCTCCTCCTCCTCCTCCTCCTCCTCCTCCTCCTCCTCCTCCTCCTCCTCCTCCTCTCTCCTCCTCCCTCCTCCTCCTCCTCCTCCTCCTCCTCCTCCTCCTCCTCCTCCTCCTCCTCCTCCTCCTCCTCTCTCCCCCCTCCTCCTCTCCTCCTCCCCCCCTCCTCCTCTCCTTGCTCCCCCACGCGTTCCCCAAGTCTTTCCAAACCGACTGGGTGAAAAACTGGCCCGATAGCTTGGCCAAGCTCTGGCCAAGCTGTCGGCCACAGAGGCGCGTCCAAAGAGGCGGGGGGCGGCGGTGATTCACCGTAGGCGACTTCGATATCCGCCGCCCCCTGTTGATTTATCGCAGGGGTGCCTGGCGTGTTGGATCCTAGACGGCTTTGCTTCGTCTAGAAAACTCACTGGGGCTTCGGCCCGTCTCGCCGGCCACCCGAAGAGACCCCAAACTGCACATGGCAATGCCTTTCATGCACAAGATGGCCCCAAATGGACTCCAGGATGCCTCCAAGACGGACAAGATGGCCCCAAATGGCTTCCAAGTCCGCCTAAGATGGTCCAAGATGGCTTCCAAGACGGTCCAAGAGGATCCAAGATGCCTCCAAGACGGCCCAAGAGGCCTCCAAGAGGCCCTCCACGAGGGCACGCAGAGGCCAAAATCATTGGTGTTCCTGAGGTTTTTGAAGGATGTTGGCATTTGCTTATTTTCGGACTTCCGACAGCCCAAGACGGCCCAAGAGGTCCTCAAGATCGCCCCAAGATCGCCCAAGAGGCCTCCAAGATGGCCCCATGACGGCCCATGAGGCCTCCAAGACGACTCCAAGAGGCCCCCAAGACGGCCCAAGAGGCCTCCAAGACGCCCAAGATGGCCTCCAAGACGGCTGAGATGGCCTCCAAGATGCATCCAAGACGGCCAAGATGACCTCCAAGACGGCGAAGACGGCCCCAAGATGCACCCAAGACGGCCCCAAATGGCCTGAAGATAGCCTTAGACTACCCAAAAGGCCCGCCAGAGGCCTCCAAGACGGCCCAAGAACCCTCCAAGACGTCCTCCAGGAAACCCGAAAGCTCGGAAACCACCTGGTCCGATAGCTCGCCCGGCTCCGTGTTCCCCGAACGCTTTCAAAACCCACTCGGGGAACGCGTGGCCCGATAGATTGGCCAAGCTCAAACCCAACTTCCGGACACGTAGGCGCTTCCAAAAAGGCAGGGGGCGGCGGTGATTCGCCGTAGGCCTCCTCGATAAATACAAGCGCAAGTCACGCAGCACCCAGAAGCAGCAACAGCAACTCTCCCCAGGGGGTCGGCGGTGCAACGTAAGCCAAATAATCACGAACAGAGCCCTGGACCTCATCTTTTTGCTGCATTGCTCGAACCGCGTCGATCTGTGAGGGCCGCAGGGCCCGAAACTGGGCGCAAACGCCCGTCTCGAGAAAGACGGACTTGCGACGCCAAGATCTCAGGGCAGGTGGGGGTGGAGGTGCGAAGTCTCCCAGTGATGCACCGGTGATGCATCGACGAGGGCCTCCGAGGCGGCCCATGGAAGGGCGAAAGCGGGGCGAGGGCAGCGGTGTGTGGGTACCTCGTCCTCCTCCAGCATCTTTGGGAGGCCAGGACCGCTCGAGCCAGTGCAGCAGCTCCGCGGCCACGGCCGGTTGCCCCGGCGAGGGCGCGCGCTCACCCCCGCGGGGCGCGGGCGCCTCGCCAGCCTTGGGCGCGAGCCAATGGGGGGGGTTATAATGGAGGGAGGGAGAAGGTGCCCTTCTCGAACACTAAAGGGCCCCTTTTCTGCAGCTCTCGCTGTCCTCCTATTTTCGGGGAGCCGTAAGACTCGGGTTCGGGGGACTCGAGTTGGCCTGACGGGGCCATCATAAAAAGGACGAGGCCCAATCGGAAATTGACGCGACCTCCCGCTGCAGACATCGCACGAAAAGTGGACCGTCAGAATCCAGGACGAGCTCGTCAAGAAACGTGCGGCAGATTCCTGTCGTGTCGACCCTGGCGCTGATTCCTGACACCGCGGGGATCGTTCCACCTTGAACGATCTGCCGTTTGCAAAACGTCAGCTCGTTCCACATCAACTGATTCTGGGTCGCCGGCGGCGTCCAACGTTGAACGCCAGCGGCGGGATCGCCGCCGGTCAACACGACGCGAACCTACCGTCGGCGAACCCGAGTTCCGGCGTACTCGGGTACTACGTTTCCCCAACATGCATCCCCCCCCATTATCAGGGGCGCGCAAACATCGATTGGCAATCCCTGGATCTGGTGCGCGGTCGCCAAATCCATGGATCGGGGGAGGTGCCCTCCCCAAAATGCGGCCAGCGCCGCCTCGCTCGGCGGCGGAACTCCGCGTACTCGGGTCTCCTTACGTTTCTCCAATATTTATAGCCGCCCCATTGCTCGGGCCGGGCGAAAGGGGGGGATAGCAAAAGGGGGCTTTGATAATCAGCTCACGTAGCTGATTTTCCGGCGCCTCCCGGCGCCGGAGGCGGCTATGTATCGAGGAACGGGCCCCTCGGTGGGGCCGAAACCAGCTGCATGCAGCAGATTTCGTAACCCCCCCCTTTCCCAATACCCCCCTTTCGGCCGGCCCGAATTGCGCGCCCCCCAGCCGCCGCGACGGCCGTCCGCTCTGGCGAGGGCCGTCCGGCCCGAATTGCGCGCCCCAACAAATGTTGTCCCAAACCAACAGCGGCCGATGTTGGGCAGGCGGGCTCAAGATGAACAGAAGCTGCTGTTGGGCATTGCACCCATTCTTTCCGGACCCAGTTCGGTCGTGCCGACCACTGCGCGCCCCCCAAACCGCCGCGACGGCCGTCCGCTCCGGCGAAGGCGCGCGGCGCTCCCCCCCGCGGGGTACAGGCGCCTCCTCGCCCGCCGCGGCGCCCGGCGCCCGCGGCCTCGCGGAAGCCCGCTCAGGCCGCCGGGCCGCTGGCCACAGCTCGAGCGGCGCGAGGGCTCAGAGGCTGGTTCTGGAGGCCCTCGCTGGGTGTCCTCCTCCTCCTCCTCCTCCTCCTCCTCCTCCTCCTCCTCCTCCTCCTCCTCCTCCTCCTCCCAGCTGGATTCTCTTGGATCTCACAGCTGGATTCTCTTCGATCTCACAGAACGCACTCCTGGATAAAAGGTGCCGATACCACTATACCTTTGCCTCACTTTCTACTTTTTGGGCCTCCCAGGAGGCCATCGTCGGCACCGCTTGATTCGCCTCGAACTTCTAGTCAGAACGCACCCCTTGAGAGGTCCTGGGAGCAGCGGTATCGGTATACCTTTGTCCCTTCACAGGGAGAGTCTCGGTTCTGTGGGGCCGTCCTCGGGCCACTGTCTCCACTCATGCGTCAATGCTGCGTCGAAGGCCCGTCGGCTTGGGTCAAGCGAGCTGGAGTCGAACAGGTCCGTGAGGTGGAATCTCGGGGCGAATCCGGCGGCGGCGACGAGGGCCTCCCGTGAAGCCCAAAAAGGGGAAAACGGGCGGAGGGCAGCAGTCTGGGTAACCTCTTCCTCCTCTGACCCGGGGGGATCCCAGAACGAGCATCTGAGGAAGCAGGCGTCGCGGTCGTCGCCAAACTCGGGCGACCCGGGCAGGCCCCGCGCCCTCGCGCCCGGGTGATCGGCCCCGCGGGCCGACCCCCCGTGCAGGTCCCAAAGCGGCGGGCCGGCGAGGCGGGGCCCGGCGCCGCGGGCTCCCGCCCTCGAGGCCTCGCTGGGCGTCCCAGAACGAGGCGGTGGCCAAACGCGCGGTGACCTCGGAGCCCCCGACGACCTCACCGCACGGCCCGTCGCCGCACGGCTCCGAGGCCAGTCGCCCGAGGCGTCCTGGGAGGAACGACCCGAGGCCCGAGACCGTGCGGCCACCCCGAAGCCCCCACGCTCTCACCACACCTTCCTAGGAGGAGGAGGAGGAGGAGGAGGAGGAGGAGGAGGAGGAGGAGGAGGAGGAGGAGGAGGACGAAGGGAGGGAAGGAGGAGGAGAGGAGGACGAGGAGACGAGAGGAGGAGGAGAAGGAGGAGGAGGAGGAGGAGGAGGAGGAGGAGAGGAGCGAAGAGGGGAAGGAGGAGGAGGAGGAGGAGGAGGAGGGAGAGGAGGAGGAGGAGCGAGGGGGGGAAGGGAGGAGGAGGAGGAGGACGAGGAGGACGAGGAGGAGAGCGAAGAGGGGGAAGGAGGAGGAGGAGGAGGAGGAGGAGGAGGAGGAGGAGGAGGAGGAGGAGGAGGAGGAGGAGGAGAGGGGACAAGCAGGGGGGGAGGGAGGGAGGAGGAGGAGGGAGGGTGCGGCTGGCGTGCGGCCCGCTCCCGTGCCTGCGGCGGCGCCGCACGCCACGGACTCACCACACAGTGTGACCACCGCAACGTTTGGGGGGCCCCAGCCTCGTGCAAGTCCAGCAGCGACACGCCGGCGAGCGCCTTGGCGAGGCCCTGGCTGGACGGCGGCCCAGCGCCGAAGGCGCCCGCGTCGTCGCGGCTCAGCCTCGACCGCGTGCGCGCCTCCGGCGGCAGGCCCTCCAGCGCGCAGCGGCCGTGGAGCGCTCCCCTCGCCGCGGCCCGGACCCCTGCCTCTGGGAGGGCCCCGAAGCGTACACCACGTCGTCGGGTCGGCCCAGGGTCTCGGAGCACGTGGGGCGCTGGCGGGCGGGAGCAGGCTTAGTGGGACCTGGCTTGGTATGCTGCACTGCGGAACTCCCCCCCCGCCCTGTTCCGCCCGAAGAGAGAGACGCAAGCTACGGCAGACATGGTTTAATGATTCTGGCAGTCTGGGGGAGCGTTCCGGCTTGATCACACATCGGCTCTCATCGGCTCCCCTTTGATGGGCCAGCCACCACCACTACCATAAGTAGGACGGGGGAGAGAGGATGGGGAAGTCCTCCTCCTCCTCCTCCTCCTCCTCCTCCCCTCTCCTCCTCCCTCCTCCTCCTCCTCCTCCTCCTCCTCCTCCTCCTCCTCCTCCTCCTCCTCCTCCTCCTCCTCCTCCTTCCTCCTCCTCCTCCTCCTCCTCCTCCTCCTCCCCCTCCTCCTCCTCCTCCTCCTCCTCCTCCTCCTCCTCCTCCTCCTCCTCCCTCCTCCTCCTCCTCCTCCTTCCTCCTCCTCCTCCTCCTCCTCCTCCTCCTCCTCCTCCTCCCCTCCTCCTCCTCCTCCCTCCTCTCCTCCTCCTCCTCCTCCTCCTCCTCCTCCTCCTCCTCCTCCTCCTCCTCCTCCTCCCCTCCTCCTCCTCCTCCTCCCTCTCCTCCTCCTCCCCCGGGCCCCTCCTCCCTCTCCTAACTATGGTAGTGGTGGTGGAAAACACGCGCATCACCCTTGCCCCGGGTCCCGGCGATGCCCGAGTACAGACGCCCCAGCTTCCCGTGGCCGTGGGACGCTGGAGCGCATACAAACGCAGCGTGCCCTCGCCAACATGGGTGGCCCCGTGGCCGACCAGACCACACGGCGTACACTCCGAGCCCCCTCCGAGCCTCACACGAGCGGCAGCCCTGTGCCAGCGTTGCCGCCAGCGGCGCGCTGCACGCCTGGAGCAGGCCCTCTCCAGCGAGGGCCTGCTGCTCCAGACCGCCGGCGCGGGCGTGCCACGCGAGCTCGCCGGACGCCGCTGGCGTGGGCAGGGGCCCTGCGGTGTCCCACTCTTCGGGCGAGGACACCAGAGCCTGAGGGGGAACGACATCGGAGGTTGCCACAGGTGCCCCTGGCCCCCAGCCTTCCGCTCGATTCTGGAGCCCACAGGCCTTCTGGCGTGAGGGGTCCTCTAGAGGCCGTGGAGGACTCCATGGAAATCCAGGGGGCACCATGGGCCAGGGGTAATTTCAACAACACCCGACGATAGGGGGGGCCTGCTCAGGGGGGGGAAGCATCGAGCTGACATCGGCGATGCGTAGCCGATAGATCGGTGTCAAACCCCCGAGAGCGAATCCGCACGTTCTTGGGCGGGGTGGGCTATCGGGTCCCCATCGGCCATGAATAGGCGATTGGGGGCCGATGCACCCCCCCTCCTGAGCCGATCCCACTTTCACGTTGCCGCTGGGAGCCAAGTCTTGGCGCAACATGCTGTTGCTCCCGTCTGGTCTGGGATGCCGCGGCTGCCACGAGATCCATCACCGCGCCGGCACGGTATTCAGTGGAGTGTCAGAATGCTGGCTGGTTGTGTTGTCGAGTGTTTGCATGTGTTCTGCGGCCACCCGCCCCTCACACCCCACGCGTTGTGCACGCCACCCCGAGATCGCTCCCCTGGCCTTCCAAGTTTGGCCCTTCGGCGGTCCCAGTAAAAACAACGAGCATCACACAGGCGACAGCACACACGATGCAGCACACGGGCCTGGAACAGAGGCAGAAGGGAGAAACGGCCCCCTGCGAAAATTCTGTCACGGGATCCAGGCCCAACATCAGCCTTTCGATGAAGGCAATCTTGCACACGCACCCCGCCACACCCGCCCAGAACCGGTGGGACGGTCACACGATAGGCGCGGGCTTTGGGCCGCACCACCGGTGAACACAAGCACCAGCCCCACGAACCGCCGAGGCAGGCACGCGGCAAAAGCCGCTCTCGAACACAGATAGACCCGAAGACAGCAGTTGCGAAAAGGGCCCGCCAGGGAACCGCCACGGTTTTGAAATGCTATGTGGTGTAATCCATGCGGTAGAGGCTATGTCGTGTAAACAATTCGGCGCAAGCCAAGTGGTGCAAGCGATGTGGTACAAGCGGCGTGGAAAAACATCTGCGGTGTAGGCTCCGCGACCACAAAGCGTACGGGGCGCCCACCACGCGCCCAGGCGGTGACAAGTGGCAACGTGGCGAAGATTCCCGCTCTCTTAGCATGGGGGAAGCGGGTCCTGAGGGAAACCGGTCCTGGACCCCGGGGCCTTCCCCCAGGACGAGACATTCATCCCGAGTCGTTTTCTGGATAGTCCCGGGGCCCGTGGAGAGGCCCGAGATCCCCAAAACGCAGAAAAACCTCAGGACCCGTTTCCGTCGGGACCCCTCTGCCCGGCGTGGCGGCGGGGATGCTGCCGCCAGGCGGCCGGACGCTGGAGACTGCACTCCTCGTCGGCCGCGCGGCGCGGCTCACCTTCCGCGCGTAGTCGCCGCCGATCTGGTGGAGCTCCTCCTCTGCGATGACAGAGCATGTGCACGTCTTCTGCCGCGGGGTCGTGTCCCCAGGACTCGGGGAGGGGTGCGTATGGGCAGATGCGGGCCCAGGCGGGCGGGCAGATGTCCACATCCACCACTCCTCGAGCTCCCAGGGCGCGACTCCGAAGCGGTGGCCATGGACATGTTCTGGCGGTGGATCCTCGCCATCGCCTGGGCAGGCGAACGAGAAGCATCTCTCTTCGCCACCAGCTTCTGTGGAGGTCACCCAAGTGGGGTCCGAACATGGGTGGGGTCGGCGGATCGCGCCGCATCGCCGAGGCATCGCCGACGACGTCTCGGCGAGGCAACGGCGCCGTGAGCGCGGAGAAAGCTGGGCTCCACATCGATCCGCACCATGGTCGCATCGGCGATGCGGCACCAAAATCCGACCCCACCTGCTCTGAGGAGGAGGAGGAGGAGGAGGAGGAGGAGGAAGAGGAGGAGGTGGGGTACTCCCCGGACCTCTCCCGTGATGCGTTCTGACCAGGATTTCGAGGCGAACCCAACGGTGGCGACGAGGAAGACCGAGGGAAGGGCAGCGGTCTGGGTACCTCTTCCTCCTCCGAGCATTGGCGATGCGGCGCGAAACTCCGACCCCACCTGCTCGGACCCCATTCGGGAGGCCCGGGTTCTGGCCCGACGGGTCTCTCGTCGGGAGCCAACGGTGGCAGCAGCGACTCGCTGCCGGCGGGCAGGGCGCCGATGGCCCGCGGCGGGCCGGAGGCTGCGGAGGCAGAGTCCGTGCAGCAGCAAGGGGCGTTGCACACCAGGCCCTCCAGGGTGGCCACCGCCACCTCCGCGGCCCGGAAGACCGCCCCGTCCACGAACCTCCGCATGGACGCTCTGGCTGCTCATCGCTCGCCCCAGGGCGCCCTGGTCAGGTGGCGACCTCCGACCCGTACCCCCGCCAGCAATCGATTATCCTGGATCGATGGGAAGCGGGGATAGGGCTCGGCTTCCGCCACGTGATCGGCGAATCCCAAAACCTACCGCCGCCTCCCTTCGAGTACGGCTCCTGGGGAGGGAGACGGGGAGGAAGGCGAGGAAAGCGACGACGCGGAGGAACACTTCGTCTTCCTCGCCCTGGCTCGGAAACAGGTCCGTTCGCTCCTCCATCCTCTACCTCCTCCCCCTCCTCCCCCTGCCCCTCCCTTCTGCTAGTCCCCCTCCTCCCCCCAATCCCCCGCCGCCCATCGAACTGCCCGAATCGTGGATCGGCGAAGGCAGGATGCGGATCCCGCCGCCGACTCGTGGAGCCGGGCCGCCGGACGTCGGCCGCGCACGTGGCGCCGCTTGAGCCGAGGGGCTGCAAGGAAGGCGTGCACGAAGGTCGGGGACGAGCACGGAGTCCACGCCAGGCGCCGAGGCACAGCACAGCCGAGTTGCGCGGGCAGGGCGCGGGCGCGGGCTAGACGCGGGCGGACGAGGAGGAGGAGGAGGCGGAGGAGGAGGAGAAGGCGGAGGAGGAGGAGGAGGAGGGGGAGGGGGAGGGGGAGGGGGAGGGGGAGGGGGAGGAGAGAGTGGGAGGAGGAGGAGGAGGAGGAGAGAGGGGGAGGAGGAGAAGGAAGGGGGAGGACGGGGAAGGGGGAGGGGGAGGGGGAGGGGGAGAGGGAGGGGAAGGGGGATTGGACGCTCATAAGGGGAGAAAGAAACAGATGGGGCGGGGGAGAGACAGTCCAGAGGGTGCCCCCCGAATGGAAATTCATCAGCCCCCGGGACGGATTCGCTCCAGGGGCCCGCGACAGGGTATCCCTTAAAACAACTCCTCATCGGAGTCGGCCTCGGCCTCCAGACTGGCAGATCTGCCAACGTCTCGGGCGCGCTCCTCGTTCAGGCCAAAGCATTAGCACAGGTGCGCCAGGCACAGGCTGGCGCAATTCAAAAAGGGGTCTGGACGCACCTTTGGGCCCTAGCTGGGGCCTGCTCGCTCTGGGTCCCACCGAAGCGACCCCCGAACAGCGAACAAGCCTCCCGACCAGGAAGGCGATGGGGTCCCAGCGTGTGGGCCCTGTTGGGATGAACTAGCCTAGCGAACGCATCAGAGTTCTCCTTGCCAGCACCTTTCCGAGAGGGCCCCTGGCCCTGGCAGAGACCTCTCGAGGACCTGGGCTATCCTAGAGCTGCTGGCGTACTCATCACAGGTCGTGCAAAACAAGAGGCTTAGACGACGCCTCGAGCACTGGAAACTCCCAGAGCGAAGGTGCAGGCGAAGAAGGGCTCGCAGACTCGGCCTCAGGCTCGACCTGGAACTCATGGGGAACCTCGATCCCGCGCACTGGGCTGTCGACAGTGACCACCAACTCGGACTCTGATGGGGCCCCAAGCGCGAGCATGGTCAGCCCTAGCCCCCCTGGACTGTCATAGACTCCAGGTCGCCATAGTGTGGCTCAGCCTGACCTCTTAACTCGGGGGAAGCCCTGGCCAGAGTTTTAAAGAGCCTCGGGGACATAATTTCAATTGCAGGCAGTAGGACCGCACATGCGCTCCTCTTGGCCAGGGCGTCTGGCTCGCTGCCGCCAAGCCCCTCAATGTTTGCGAACCTTTCCTTGCGCGCGTAGCGCATGGAACATGAAACGCGTGCTGGCACTTTCTTGAAACTGGCGCCCTGTATGCCGCCTAGGCCCCCTACCAAAGGTTTTATGCCAGAGGTGCGCTCTTGGATCTGCACTGCTGGTCGCGCCACGCCCGCCCCTGCAGCATCCGAGCGTGCCAGCGCAGCCAATGTCCAAGGTGAAATACCCCGTGACAAACCTGGCCGCCACGTGGACCGCATTGTCCTCGCCTTCTCTGGCAACTTGCGCTGGGAGTGCGGGTGGAGGGACGGCCACAAACCAACCCCCTAAACAAATCCGTCGCAAATCGCCACCCCCACCCAGCCGCGCGGCCCGAGGGAAACTCGAGGTCGAAACGCGAGCCGTGGCAGGACACGCGGCCCCAGCGGAGGGCAAGCGGAGCCGAATGGCCCTCGACCTGGAACTCGGCGCCAGGGCCCCAAGGCCTCCCGGTCACGATCTGGCAGGGGTCACGAAGGAGACCGCGCACAAATATCTCCTACATCTGGATAAGAGCCCTGCTAAAGTATGAGGTCGCCCGGACGACCTCAAGAAGGTATACTACCCCTGTGCGATAGGGTTCTGGCTAGGAACTGAACACGTAAGTGAAACACAATGCCGAGCTCGCCACATTGCAAGCAACCGACCTCGAGCTGGTCGTCATGCATAAACAGACGGTGCCGGCACTAGTGGGGGCCACTGACTAGCCCACGAAAGGCACGCTGCTGCCTTAGACTCCACCCTTCCTCTGTAAGTAAGTGCCAAAGAACAACAGTTCATTCAACGGGCGCCAAAGAACATCGCCTTCCCAAGTCGGGCGCTGACCCAGTCGCGAGTCTCGCTTTTTGAAGAAAACCCGCTTGGCCCCTGGACGACGCAGGGGCCCCAGGAACGAAACGAAACTCGATCCTGACGGCAGTCAGGAACAACGCAGCGACGGGATCCTAGACGAGGGCCCAAGGCCAAGGCTTCGACGCGACGTGGGACCCAGCCGTAAAAAGGAAGTCCAGAGCAGGTTTGCCGAGCGTGCCTGTTTGGACGATGGATACTACGTCTGGACGGCGCTGGCCGCCAGCTGCACTGAGGAATCTCGACGCCCGCCCCCACCCCAAGAATCACCGTCGAAGCGAAACCGAGCGAGGATCCCCCAGGCAAGTGGCCCTGAGCTGTGACAGCAGCGCCTCTGCGGGACACCAGCCGTCCAGGCGCGAGGCCCTGCGTACTCGCCCCCGTGGCAGGCCTGCGCTGCGGGGCCGGCTCTGAAAAAACCGCCGCCGCGCTAGCAGCACCCCCCCCGAGGTGGGGGGTCCTGAAGCGCGGGCCGTGGAGGCCAGGAAACGGGCGCAGTGCGTCGCGAGTCGCCTCCCAGATCCGTTGGCGGCGCCCCCCCCCCTCAGTCTCCGCGGGCGCGCCTGGCCCCGCTGAGGTCGCGCTACGACGCCAGGGTTTCGGCGACATGGGCTGTCGAAGCAAGGGTGCCAGCATTCTGCCGCGAGACCAGGGGCCTCTCTGCTGAACGTCCTCGGCGACAAAATGGAAGGATGCGGCCAACTCTCGACCGACGACGGCGGCCCCTCCTACTGCGCGGAAGGACACGTCGTCGATCGCATTATTCGGGCGCGCCACGCGAAACAGGAGCGCTGTGGATATGGGAACTTCCGCGAGCAAATGTTGCACCAGGGTAGTTGCGCACGAGCGCCCTGCAAACCTCGCGTCGCTTGGTTGGGTAGGTTGGGTAATCCTGCCAGTGGCTCCCAGACAGGAGACGCGCCTCGGGGCGCTATAGAGGCAACGCGAAGCCCTGAGGAGCCCGAGAGGAAATTTGGCGTGGATGGCGGCCTCTTTCAATTCGGCGCGCGAGATGTTTTCGGAGAAGCGCTTCAAGTCTAGAAACAGCGCGCTTGAACCAAATCCTCTTGGACCTGGCGTAAACCGCGAGGGCGCTGCGCGCCCCTGCGCTTGTGTCGCAAGCCGCGCTGGTGCCACGGCCCCAGAAAGAAACCCGCTTCGCGCAACTGCCCCCACCTGGCACAGGACCTGTGACGCACCCGGCTCGAGAGACGCACCCCCAGGGGCAGCAACCCTATGGGCCTCACCCCACAGGACGCCTCATCGAAAAGATTACTAAAGATAGCCACATCTGTCCTGTGTGCCCACCGGCTGGAACTGTAAGCGAACGCCTTCACGAAACAAAAAGGGAGCTGCAACAGGAGCCGAGGCCAGAATGCGCCACGCCCTAGACCCGTCGAAGGCGGAAACGCGCGAGCAACATCGGGCACATCTAGCGCCGAAATGGGCAGCACGTCGTCCGGGTCGTATCCTCCGCCAACCTCCCAAGTCCACGGGTGAGCCTCCTTCCCCCTAGACTGCCTGCGCCAGGTGGGAACCCAGTCCATTAATACTTGCCCGAGTGCAGCTTGGCCCACCAGTGGGATGGGGAACTCAGCTTCGGAGTCGTTCAAAAGCCCCTAGGTGGATCGTTGGAAACCTCCGAATAATGATGCGCAATACGACCTCCCGACTCGACAAAACGCTGAGCCCAGGACCTCCTTGTCGTTCGGGCCTCCGCAATCCCCTACTGAGATGCGAGCGCCCACCTGAGCCTGTATTGAATTGGCCACTTCCCCTCTGGATTCTAGATCGTTTGGCTGGTCACAAGTCGCCTGTGCGCCAGCCCGCAACAGGGGCTTGCATCGCGTCTGGAACGAGCGTTCCCGATATGCTGGGGAACCCAATGATGCGGTCTTGCGGGTTGTTGTCCTCCATACATAAAGTAGCGAGGCGCGTGGGATATGATCGGCTGTCCTCCTCCCCCTTCTCCATCTCCGCCAGGATCCAACATCACGCTAAGGAGGGGTATCAAGGCTTCGCGGCACAACCCGGGAGACTCTGGAGCTTCCAAACTGCCTTCCGTGGCCTCAAAGAAGTTCCACGACGGTCCCGAATCGCGGAACGATTGGCCCAAGACGCCTACGACGGCGCCAAGACGCCCCAAGACGCCTTCAGGACGCCCCACGAGCCTTCCCAAGAGGGCTCCGAGGGGCAAGAATCAATAATGGTCCTTGGGCTTTCCAGTGCTTCTGGGATAAACGTCTTCTCGAGCTTCAAACGCTCCAAAACGGCCCAAGAGGCCCCGTAGACCGCCCCAAAACTGTTCAAGAGGCCTCCACGAGGGCCCCAGGACGGCCCAGGAGGGTCCTAAGATAGCCCAAAGAGGAACCCCAAGACAGCCAAAGAGCGCCCCCAGAGGACCCCAGGAGAGGCAGAAAGGGAGAACACGAACC